TAATAGCCATCATCTCACCGATTAGCTGGAATTAGCCACAGCAAGTTCCGCTGACTTTACCCAACCACCAATGGGACAGTGTTTGAATGTTGGCCATATGAGAAAAGAAAACCCTGATTAATAGGTTCTCTCTCCCCCTACAACTCCTTTCTTCCAAGAAGAAAAGGAGAGGATCCTTTTAAAGTTAGGATGCCTTTCCATAGTTGTTTAGTGCAGAGCGATAAATTTAATTGCTTGGAAACTAGTGTTGTGTCCTTAAAATTTGGGGACACCCTTGATGAAGCAAATGGGAAGTCTTGGGAAACAAATGACAGAAAATATTCTGTGTAGGCATGCAGTGGTGAAGCAGCTGCCCGTATCTTATCAGTTCAAACTGCTCTCTTAGGCTCACTTACTTAGGAATAAATGCCATTGAAACAGGTGGAGCTTGACTCCAAGGAAGCGTAATTAGGATCGGCTTCTCTGCGTCCTGTATCAGTTGAGAGAAACTGCTTTTGTTAATGCTTTCTGGGCTAATCACCTGGACAGAAAGGCCACTCACCATAGGTGACTCCAGAGCTTGCAGTGTTGTTTTTTGAATGGACTTGCTTCGTTAGGTTATTACTATGACACAGATAGGGAATTGTCATTATTACCATTGCTCCTTTTTAATTTGTCATGTTGCACCTTAAGATACAGCTTTACCGCTAACAGCATAGCAGCAAAATACCACGAAGCTCCTCCTAGTGGCCAATTCTGTTGTTGCTTCTTGTAAATTACAAGGAAGTTCCTCCTAGTGGCCAATTCTGTTGTTGCTTCTTGTAAATTACAAGGAAGTTCCTCCTAGTGGCCAATTCTGTTGTTGCTTCTTGTAAATTACAAGGAAGTTCCTCCTAGTGGCCAATTCTGTTGTTGCTTCTTGTAAATTACAAGGAAGTTCCTCCTAGTGGCCAATTCTGTTGTTGCTTCTTGTAAATTACAAGGAAGTTCCTCCTAGTGGCCAATTCTGTTGTTGCTTCTTGTAAATTACAAGGAAGTTCCTCCTAGTGGCCAATTCTGTTGTTGCTTCTTGTAAATTACAAGGAAGTTCCTCCTAGTGGCCAATTCTGTTGTTGCTTCTTGTAAATTACAAGGAAGTTCCTCCTAGTGGCCAATTCTGTTGTTGCTTCTTGTAAATTACAAGGAAGTTCCTCCTAGTGGCCAATTCTGTTGTTGCTTCTTGTAAATTACAAGGAAGTTCCTCCTAGTGGCCAATTCTGTTGTTGCTTCTTGTAAATTACAAGGAAGTTCCTCCTAGTGGCCAATTCTGTTGTTGCTTCTTGTAAATTACAAGGAAGTTCCTCCTAGTGGCCAATTCTGTTGTTGCTTCTTGTAAATTACAAGGAAGTTCCTCCTAGTGGCCAATTCTGTTGTTGCTTCTTGTAAATTACAAGGAAGTTCCTCCTAGTGGCCAATTCTGTTGTTGCTTCTTGTAAATTACAAGGAAGTTCCTCCTAGTGGCCAATTCTGTTGTTGCTTCTTGTAAATTACAAGGAAGTTCCTCCTAGTGGCCAATTCTGTTGTTGCTTCTTGTAAATTACAAGGAAGTTCCTCCTAGTGGCCAATTTTGATATTGCTTCTTGTAAATTACATGGAAGTTCCTCCTATTGGCCAGTTTTGATACTGCTTCTTGTAAATTGCAAGGAAGTTCCTCCTAGTGGCCAATTCTGTTGTTGCTTCTTGTAAATTACAAGGAAGCTCCTTCTAGTGCCCAATTCTGATATTGTTTTTTGTAAATTGCAAGGAAGCTCCTCCTATTGGCCAATTCTGATACTGCTTCTTGTAAATTACATGGAAGTTCCTCCTATTGGCCAATTTTGATACTGCTTCTTGTAAATTACATGGAAGTTCCTCCTATTGGCCAGTTTTGATACTGCTTCTTGTAAATTACATGGAAGTTCCTCCTATTGGCCAATTTTGATAATGCTTCTTGTAAATTACATGGAAGTTCCTCCTATTGGCCAGTTTTGATACTGCTTCTTGTAAATTACATGGAAGTTCCTCCTATTGGCCAGTTTTGATACTGCTTCTTGTAAATTACATGGAAGTTCCTCCTATTGGCCAGTTTTGATACTGCTTCTTGTAAATTACATGGAAGTTCCTCCTATTGGCCAGTTTTGATACTGCTTCTTGTAAATTACATGGAAGTTCCTCCTATTGGCCAGTTTTGATACTGCTTCTTGTAAATTACATGGAAGTTCCTCCTATTGGCCAATTTTGATACTGCTTCTTGTAAATTACACGGAAGTTCCTCCTGGTAGCCAATTCTGATATTGCTTCTTGTAAATTACAGGGAAGTTCCTCCTAGTGACCAATTCTGATATTGCTTCTTGTAAATTACAGGGACGTTCCTCCTAGTGGCTAATTTTGATATTCCTTCTTCAAGACTAGAGGGAAGCTCCCCCTGGTGGCCAATTTTGAGACTACTACCCAAAGGTGGTTTGGGAGAGAAGAGTCAAGGAGGCCATACATGTGCATATAAAAAAATCTCTCACTCAACAGTGGTGGAGGCCTTTGAGACAACCTACAGTATCTCCCATTGATCCTTCTGCCGTTTCATCCATCCCCAGAAAGATCAGGGCCACACCCTCCAGAAAGACCACTGTTAATGACCCGTTAATGACCCATGTCAATGGGTGGAAAAGGACTGCAGGGGTAGAATTATCCCTCACCCCCAATTCTTTGTCCATCTAAGGCACCAAAGGGAAGTGAAACCAACGTGGAGGAGATATCCGGGGGGGGGGCGTCTCCTACCAACTCTCCTCAGACTGAAGAAGCAACTCGGAGGAGTAGCGAAACCTTTCAGACGAACAGGAAAGAAGTCCAGTTGCTGGGACTCAACTTCCAGAGAACCTCCCCAAAAGTCTTCTCAAAATCCCAAAGCGAAAGAAACAGGTCCCTTGCCCCCAGACGGAGAAGAGCATGCCATGAAAACATGAAAAATGCACCCCCAAATTCCATCCCGAAAACTTTGAAGTGACTGTTAAAACAAACCCGATTGTCGATTTCGAAACCTTTATTGGCATATAAAAATGTCTTGTTACACCTAGGCATTGTAACTACTCCCCCCCCCCTTTAATAAGTAATTACCCCTTTAGAAGTAATTATCTGAAGCAGGCAAGCTGACTTGCCACTAGTTATGTCTAAAGTCTCAGTGACCTGATATGTAGAGGTATAGGGCGGTGGTTTCACCTAGGAAAGGGCATGCCCGTTTTTTAACTACATTAAAATATGGAGAAGTTACAAAAATGGGCAAACCAGGGCCAGATTATTTTTTTGTTTGTTTATTTATTTATTTATTTGCAAGATTTTTTTTAGCCGCCTCATTACCAGTGGTCTCTGAGCAGCGTACAACAATATTAAAACTTTGAAAACTTTAAAACCGTTAAAAATCAGCAATATTATAATTATATCCTACATTAAAAACAGTCATTAAAATATTAATACTAATAAATCCTGGTTAGCGAAACTGGCCTCCACGCAGCGGCGTCTGTCGCTGCGGTGGGATCACCATGATGGCCGCACACAAACTCCGGCGCATGGTGAGAGGGGGTAACCGCCATCCTAGTGCCCGTTCATCATGGTGATTTGGCACCGTTGCCTTGACGCCAGCATCACAAACCCTCCGGATCCGGCCCATCTGTTTGCCAGAACGGTGCCGGGGATGAGTTTGCAACTGTGTGTGTGTGTGGTGGGAAGAGGAGAGGGGAGGAACGCAGGCCTCTGTGTTTGATGCTAAATTTGTGCTCTCGGTTTTTCCCCCCATCCCTGACGGTGGCTGATCGGCGTTGCCATGACGACAGAGAGAGACCCAGGCCCCGTAAGTTGTGTTCCCCCTCCTGCTTGCTTGCTTCCTTTCATTCCCATCATCCTTGCTCCCTTTCTCAAATAAATTCTCTTTTCTTTTTCTCTCCCTCCTCCTCCTCTCCTGAGAGAGAATGCTTTGGATCTTCCAAAGAGGGTTGGT